AAAGATAATGCACCCCTGGCCTATGATAAATAGCTGCACCATCTCGGGCATTTTTTTTTTTTTTGGAATGGGCATCAAATTCAGGACCTTGTGCTTTCATCTCTGGCATTTTTTAAAATGCTTTTACTATGCTAAGCAGCACCAAAGAGACTCATGCTGGATCCAAAAGGTTGTAGCTATTTCAGAATGGTAACGGTACAGAATTCAGTGTCACCACAGGGGAGAAACCAAGTGCAGATGAATCACCAATGTAAATTAATTTAAGTGTGTGTGTTGTGTGTGTGTGTGTGTGTGTGTGTGTGTGGTGTGCGTGTGTATGTGTATGTATGAAAACAACTAAGAGACAGATGGCTGGCAAGTGATTTTCCCCTTAGCATTTTTCCATGTCTATCCAGTCTTGTATTTGGGTCATCTGTTTTGGTAAATACCACGTGACAGGATCAATGGAGGTAAACCAAAGCAGTCCATACGGAGTTCACTTTGTAATTTTAATTTTCCAGTAAGAGATACACTTGGTCAAAAGAGCAAAATGAACCATCTGCAAAGAGATTTGTTCAAACAACTAACACATGGGGGGAAGGGGGAGCATATTCAAAATAGTTCATAAATTGTTCCCAGCTCCATTTTTTTTCACTATATTATAAACTGGAAAGGAAAATAAATGGTAAAATAACACTCCTGTACACATAGCCGCCTTCTAATAATGACTTAGTAAGACAAGCTCTGATACAAGGCAACACCTCCATTTAATTTCTTAGTAAGTCTTTCCATACATATGCATTTACTAAATACAGGGCCTGCCATCAATACACTGTAATTTTAAGATACCAATTCCAGATTAGTCCGAGGTAAATGCATTGGAGAGATGCTTTTAGACAGAAATTAGCAGAGTGGTTGATCACCTCAGGAGGGATTCTTATCATATCAGGTCCAAAACCCAAACTAACAGTAATATTAAAAGACCAAGCAGAAGCAGTAGTTCAGTATTTTTCAAGGGGAAAAAAAGTTGATTCTTAAAATGTTATTAATATCCCTTTAATCAATTGCTTCTTTAAAATAATGTCAGTTAAAATCATTATGGAGAAAACCTTAACTAGTGTTTCTACAAAAATTAAGATTTACCTTCACATCCAAACTAAAAAACTAAACTAGGAATGTACTATTAAGAGTTTTATTTTTTGGTAGTGGAGACTGAACTCATGACCTTCACACTGAGCAACTCAGCAACCCTATTTATTCTTTTTATTCTTTTAAATCGCCCAGGCTGGGCTGGAACTTGTAATCCTCTTGCCTCAGCCTCCCAGAGTGCTGGGATCTCAGTCATGCACCAGATACTTTTCCACTAGAGTGGAAATTTCTGCTGTGAAATTGTTTCCCCAAGCTTCAGACAATTACTGTGCAATGGAATAGCTAAGAGACCTCTAAGTAATGTTAATGATCAAGGCTGGGTTTACTAAATCCAAAATGGACAATAAAAAAAAAAAATCTTCAAATATCTTCTGTAAATATATTTTCTTTAATGAATTACTTTACTCACATGAGAATTAAAAATATGCAGAAATTACATTACCTTATTTATTTGTGTATCATAAAAGGGAATGTCATTAATTAGATAATATGAGCAAAATGAGATCAGACTTCAAAACATTCGTGATTTACCTGTTTTCTTTGAAGTAAAATGACTTCTCAGTGTTATTTCCATGAGAAACTTACAGTAGTATTATTAAAAAATGACACTATGTCTTCCTCAACAAACATATAGGAAAGCAGAGAATTGGGGTCAGCAAGATTTTTTCCACTCACCTAAACACCAAATTTCTCTAGAAAATAAGAGCAACTCCTTCAAGGAGTCACATACAACATGACATAAAATTTGGCAAAGATTGCATATTTAAAATCCCAATGTTCCTCTAACCACAACTTCAGATTCAACACAGTCATTACACACACATATATGTGTGTAATACATACATATATACATACACATACATATATGTGTAATACATATTGAAGGCAAGGGAAGGAGGAATTAAAGTGTGCTTTATCATCCGATACTGTGGATTCTACTCTTCCACTGTGTGTTTCCACTCATCATACACATCTTAGATTCAGCACAGAAACACTTGTAAAATACTAAATTTTACCATAGGGAAATTGATTTTGCTTTAATAAAGTTTCATGTTACCACTTAATTTCAACCAAGCTACATCAAACATTGAAAGTAACTATATAGTTTATGAAGTAAACTTGATCACTATATTTAAAAGCAATGATAACTTTGAGAAGTGCCACAGCAATAATGTTTAAGCTAAAGCAATAGGAGGCCCTCCTAATATCAATGCCAGACTCTTCCGGCTCAAAGGCAGGGTCTTGATTTAGTTAGGCAAGTCAGGCCTCAGAGCCATCTCCCTCCTTGAGCACTGCTCTCTTCGCTTGCAGCCTTGGCCTGTTCTTTCAGAACTGAGTTTTTCAAAAGTTCCTGGGGGGCAGAAGAATCCACAGATGCAATCTAAGAAACACTTGAAACATGAATCTTTCCAGTCTGCAATGGAGTTGTGTAAATAAACAGTTATCAGCATCCTGCGGTTCCCACTTGGCTCCCCAGCTCTTTCCCATTCACACACCAGTGAGTTCCAGTACTTAGCAAGAAAATATGGGAGTCACAATTTACAGCGCACCTTGGTAATGAATCATTTTAATGTGCTGTGCATAACAACCAATGAGTTGAGTACTCCTTTAACATATGTGTCATAATTTCTAGGATATATAAAAATGAAGTTTGCTACTCTGAAGATTTCACAAATTTAAAAGCACGTGTTTGCATCGGCAGTTCTGCTAAGAAAGAAGAGTAAAATACACTTTTTAAATTGTAGTGAAGTATGATTTGTACTTTAGCCCTATGTATAGAAATAAGGTCTATATATCATATGCTATTAAGCATGTGATATGGGAAAATCATGACACTAAATTCACCTTTGTAGCTCGAAAATAGAAGTCGGGGATTTCAACACTCAATTTGACCTATAGCATGTGAAGAACTTGTGACAATTGGGACCATCAAAGCACAACTCATTTATCATCACACTCTCACCATTCTCCCAAAGTTATAAAGTCCTAACATTTCTGATACATGACTCACGAGCACAGAATAAGCATCAGAACTACAGAAAAATGTATATACAATTTTTAGCCTTAATTTCCAAACAATACTTTCTCCTGACATGACCCCTTTAGGAACTGGACGGCAATTAAGAAGAGTGTACAATAGGAATGCTTGATTTATCATAGCCTTCTAAAATGGTGACAGTACTACATTTTCTAAAATTAGCTTTATATTCTTGGTCCAAATGTTTCTCAAACTGCCCCCAGCACAGCCAGTGACTGTTCACTCTCCTCTCTCTCTCAGCTCCTTTTACTGAAAAGCCACCCATCTTTGGAAACAAAGGCTTTTTCCATCAATGTCCTACAAATAGCAGATGCACCTCACACAGAAGTAGAAAATAGAGAAGCAGCTCAGCTCACCTCGCTTACACTTCTCAGAGCATGCAGTGTAACTGCTAAAATCAGTACACTGTTTGAAAGCTGAGGAAAAGTTTATGCCTACCAGTGCCTTTCTGTCAACTAAGCTATGACAGACACTACATAAAATGCATTAAGAAGGGTCTGAGGGCTATTTTTGCACCTATTATCAGGTGATTTCATAACAGACATGTGGGTGTAAACCAAGATTTGCTGATTTAAGGCTTACATCCCTGAGCACTTTTAGCAGCAGAGTGGGCACACACCAGAGAATACAGGATATGGCTAATCCGCACCAGGGGAAGAGTCAGCCTTCACCTCCTCCCACTACAACCACTTTGCTTAAATTCACTCTCTGCCTCGCCCTCACCCTGGGGACCCATTCACTTTCCTTAGTCCAGAGAGGCTGCTGAAAAGCTGTCAAAGTAAATCTGTGCTCACTTTTTGGATGGTTTAATTTCAATGGAGCATGAAACACCCCAGGACGGTTAATAAGTTTAGCCAGGCGTGCTGTTCCCCTTAATATATTTTAATTATGCATCTGTTTTAATTGTAATCAGATTAAGTCACCGGAAAGGCACAAATTGGAATTTTCCCTAATGGCTACTGGAGCTTTTCATCAGTTTCTAAACACTAACAACGTTTAAAAAATAGGTAGAGACACCAGCACAACTGTGACATTTTCCAGGAATCAATGCAGTTTCTCTGACAACAGAGTTCGAGACTCATTAGCCACCCAAACCAACTCAAACGCACAAGACAACTTCGGTCCCTAGGGGCGTCTTCTTCCCCAATTAGCACAAGCGATTCTGAAATGTCTAATGCAAAACTTCAAAACAGAAAGGAAAGCCGAAGCTTTTGTAAAGCGCAGCCCCACCGGTTGGTGAGGGAGGTGGCCGGGGGGGTAGGGATGGGCTGGCGGGTGGATTTACAACCCGCGGCGTTACCTCGACTCAAAGTACCGTCCACGACAAAAGGGAAAGTTGAAGCAAAGATCGATCTCTCTTTTCACTTTTTTGGCAACTGTCAAAACTTGCGCTTTAACTTGGGGAACTAAAAAAGTGTCCTATCAATAAAAGGAAACGCTGCAGGGAAGATCTATTAGGGGGCGGGGGGCGGCTTCCTTCCAGCCCAGATGTAAAATCGCCTTCTGGGCTTTTGTAGCACCAAGGAATACCTAAGACTGTTTTTCTTTTTTTTTAAAGAAAAATACGTTCATTAAATAGTTCGCCCAAATTGCCAGGATTTCCGCTAAGAAACTTAAGCGCCTGCCAAGAGGCGAGAAGCAAGAGGCAGAACCTGCTGCAAACTCGGAGCGGAAACTCCGGGCCCGCCCCGCGCTCGCGTCCCAGGCGGCCGCCTGAGGTGTTCAGGTCTGCGCGCCGCTAAACCTGCAAGTGCTGGCCCGTCCCTCCCGGGCGCTCCGAGTCCTAGAGCGAGGAGCTCCCCGCGGGGTCCCCACGCGAGCCATCGCCCCTTACCTGTCATCGTAGCAGAAATCCGCGCTCAGGGTGTTGAGATACAAGGCGAGCCCCAGAGCGCTGCTCACCAACTCTGCAATCATCTCTCCACTGCCTTCCCTCCGGCTCGGCTCCCAGCGCGAGGGCAGCAGCGGCAACAAAACACAGAAGCATCAATCCCCACCTTCCGCTGCCTTCTCCTCCCGGCCGCACTTTTCCCTCGCGTCCCCACCTTCGCGCCTCGCCCTCCCTCGGGTCCTTCCCATCCGCCGCTCCTCTCCTCCGCCTCCTCCTGCGCCCGGCTCGGAGCTCCCGCGTCCTCCGGGTGCCTCCTCACGCCCCGCTCCCCATGCCGGCGCCCGCGAGCGGCGAGCGGCGATCGGGCTCCGCGCCCCCCGGCGGGTGCACAGCGCTGGTCCTGCACGCGGCTCGGGCCCCCACCCTAACCCATGGCAGTGAGGGGCGCCCTAGGTGAGGAGTGGGGCTCGGAGGAGGTGCGAGAGTGCGGGATGGGGCCGAGGGACCGCACCGAGCCGGGCTCTGGGACCAGCTGGAGAAAGGGAGCGACAGAGGGCGGTGGGAGGGACGAGGCGAACCGCCTTCCCTCGCCGCCTCCCGGGCGCACCGCTGCGGGGTGGCTCGGACGGACTCGGGCCGCCAGGACAGCCGCCACACATTCACTCTTTATTGGCTCCCTCCCGGCCCCAGCCCCTTCTCCCGCGCAGTGAGAGGCGGTGGCCTGGGACTCCACCAGCTCCCGCGTGGGGTTCTCGACGCGGCCCCCCGCGCCTGCGTGGCCAACCCTCCATCACGGCTTCTCCCCGCCCCTTTCCCCACCCAGCGCCGCCCCGAGGGCCCCACCCACCCTGCCCCGCCGGCTGGAGGCCCCGCCCACCACCTCCCGCCTCCCTCCGGTTTCTTTCACCTTCGATTCCCGTCTGGAAAGCCCCCGGGACGGGGACGCGCGCGGCTGGAAGCCAGCCCGGAGGAGCAGCCCGCGCCCTGGGAGGGGCGCTGGAGGAGAACGGAGCCGGGGGAGGCGGCCGCTCGCTCCGCTGCTGCCTGGCGGAGCCTGGCACGGGCTGAGTCTCAAACCCCGCGTTGTGTGTGCCAGGCGCTGCCAGGCGCAAGTCTGGTCAGCTGGAGAGACTTCTGGGACCCCGGAGCGGAAAGACAGGTTTGGCGAATGCTGCAGCCTTAGTTGCCACGAACGTAACCGCAATTTCTCACACACGCTAGCCACGCGTGAGCCGACCTGGAGAGAAAGGCCGTAATGGAGAGCTTGGGAGGCATCTCCGGGGGCAGATTTCAGCTCTTAACCCACCCTGCCGTCCACCCCAGTGTCAGTGGAAAGACGAAATGTGCCCCCAATAGAAGAAAGGTTCCAAGAAGGGGGAAGAAATACAGGCGCGCGCACACACACACGCACACTCCCCGCAGCGATGGCGGGTGCGGTGCCTTTGGCGGTCTCAGGACTGTCAGGCTGAACCGAGAGACGCCGCGAGCGCAACCCTGCACGGCGCTGTCCTCGAGGCTAGTAACTGGAGAGCTACTGCCCTTTCCTTTCCTCCCGGACGCGGGACTGGATGGAAGGCATCCAACATGATGAAATATGGGATAGAAGAATGGCCCGGGTAGAACGAGCTCTGGGTACTAAAGTTGCAAGACCTAAGAGGACCGCCAGCTGTGTGCCACACCTCCTCCTGGCTTGTCCCCTCCGGCCCAGCTAGTGGCGCGCTTGGACCACGTTGAACACTACTGCAGCGCCCCCTGCTGCATGTCAATCACAAGGCATGAGGAAACAAATTTTTCGGTGCCGGCCAGTTTGACCCCACTGAAGGAGCGGCCCCTAACCCTCAAGCTCTCCCAAGAAAGCGCGGCGAGCAATTCAGCTCCCCGATGACTGGCAAGGAACGGAAAAGTGTGGGAGCCTACAAAACAAAGCTGCCTCTTTTCCTGACCTTACAAGGAAATCTGGAAAATCTGAACAGGCACAGATGAACTGATATTTATTATCCACAAAAGACAAATTGTGTGCGCAGCGCAAAACAAAAACATACGTAGAAAGAAATTATATCATTAAAGACAGTGATTGATTCTGCTCATTGTTTAAAAGTGTTTAAAATCGTATCAATTGGTCCATGGGTCTGCTGGACTTATGTAAGTATCGTAGTATGTGTAGAGGAGTCAGCAGGAATAAAGCACCTAGTAGGACCCTGGAAAAGGAATAGGAGTGTTAACCGTTATTATTATAGTCTCCAACTTCCTCTTTTTCCTGTTAACTAACCTGGGCACTTATCCAAAACATATCCCACTCATCCACACTCCTCCAATCCTAGTCCAAGCTATCCTCATCTCCTACGTGGACTAATGTAATGTAGTGGACTTCCTCCTCTGTAATCCCTCCTTCTCCCTCGTCTTAACTGCAGACACTAGACAGAAGACTGAAAACTACAAACTCTGCACTTAAAATGTTCGGAAACTGTCCATTGCACAATGAATAAAGCACCAGTTCTTACTGTGGCTCTTTTGGTCCTGACTACCTCTTGTGTTCACATTATGTGCACAAGGCATACATCCTTCTTAGAAACTCTCTTCCTCCTGCATGAAATGCTTTCTCCGCAGACTTTCTCTGGCTCCTTCTCACTGTTAGGTCTTAGATTAAATGCCGCTACCTCAAAAAGTCTTTCCTAGCCCACACTCTATAAAGTAGCCTGACACACACACCCATCAATCTTTATTCTACCACCCTGTATTGTTTTCTTCATAGTATATATTAGAATCAAAATTACTTCTTGAATGGAAGCTTTGTGAGGGTGGAGACCTTATCAATCTTGTTTTAGACTTAATATCTACAGCCCATGTCATCTGGGCATGTAGAAAAAACTTCTTAAAATGTTGACAATAAATAAGCAAATAATGTAATTAGTAGAGACTATAGCAGAAAATCTGCAAATATCTATCATGAGAGAAAAACTGATTATCATCAACGTTAAAGATTGTGAAGGACTGACAAAGGGAAGAGAGAGGAAGTAGGTTAAAAATTATTAAAAGTGCATCAACTCAAAAATACCAGGGTGGGGAAGTCACACATGAACAACTCTCTTCAATAATTAAGAAGATTCCGAGGCATAAAAATACTAAAGAGCTTTGAGTTCAATGCACTAAAAGCTTATAAGCATTTTCCAGAGCTGTCTCAAAGCTCCCGTAGTTTTAAATATTTATTTCTTCCTTCTTCCATCTTTCCTCCTCTCCGCCCCCTCCAACTCCTCTGAATAGGAAATTTAGAGGACTACAGTGAGATATGCCATAAAGTGGTACATCGCACCATCCCTGATAAATAAAAGGCTGAAATTCCAGCTATGCTTGAGAAATCCAGTTGCTTTTAACAAACTTTCTATTATAATTTAACATGGGCCTCAATATCCTGCCAGTGCATTGAGCCACAATCTCTCAAATTGCTCTCCAAGAGCGGAGAAGCAGCCAATTCCTGCTTTTTCTACCTTCTCGAACAACTGTGGGGGGAAAATCGCATTAAAGATGTCATCACTATCCTTGGAGATCACTTAAAATCTGGGGACATAGCATTTGAGTTTATTAAGGTGTACTTACCAATGTGAAATTGCTGTTTCAGTTCTGAATTTTATGTGTACTATTTAAAGCTACTGTTGCTTTCCACAGATGAAGGAAATTAGGCTAGTTGGCTTGAGTTTTCTACCTTAGACACAAGATTGGCCAAAAAAGTGCTAAGCCCTTATTTTCCCTAGTAGGTTCCACACATCTGCTACCTCACCACTTCCTCAATGAATTCCTTTTTATAGTCGCCCAGACCTACGCTACATTTGTTCTGCATTCCCATTCCTTTGTTGTATAATTCATACCTTTGCAGTGCCAGTCCCTCAGGGTAAAGATTTCCTTATTTGCCTAAGACATTTTTAGTTTATTGTGCAACACCATCTTCCCTTTGGGTGTTGCATAAATATTAACTAAAAATTCCACATCTGGTGTTGGTCGTCATTTCTATTTGTCCTAATATAACTTCTCTTTGAACAATTCATTTGGAAAGTGAGCCAAGGGTGAAATATGGCACATAAATTCTCTTGTGCTGCACTGAATGCTTTTTAAAATGCCCACAGATTTGGCTATTTATGAACAGAAGATTTGCACCTCTTCCTTACCCTCTCAATTCTAAAATTGTAGCAGGCCAAAGTAATTACAGTCTCCCATATGTTTTCTGAAAAGGTATCGAGGAATCTCCTGCTAAAATCTTAACAGATTGACTAGGTAGCAGAAAAACACTAGCATAGCAGGTGAAACTGCCTGTTTAGGGAGTTCAGAACAGAGCTCTCTGCTGTGGGATTCATAAGGTCTGGGCTTTGCTCAGGAAATAACCCTGCAGGAGAAAAACAGCAGAGCATGGATGAAATGTGGGTCAGGGAGCCGAAAGAGGCACATGGGCTGCTTGGTTAAATAATGACAGCAAATCCATTGGCTGCACATGTTACATTTAGATGTTTCCCAGCATACGATAAAGTGCTGCCCTGCAGACACTATAGTGTATAGCATCATTTTACCTCAAGCCTTGTGATCCATTAAGAATATAATTAGGACAATACAGCCACAGAAACAGATCCTGTCACCTCTGTCACAAAACTGGGCCTGCTAAAAACCAGCTGCTACCAAAATAATGATCACTTTAAGAATCTCAGTTTCCACAGCTTCCAATTCAGAGGCTCTGGGGGTGGGGGAAAGAAGAGGAGGAGGAGGAGCGTAGAAATAACACAGTAATACCTAGATAAGGATAATTGCAGAGATATTGAGGCTAATGATAGAATTCAGAAACTCAATCAAGAAAAAGCAAGGACCTCCTCCTTCATAAAATCTCTCTGAACGCATTCACATAAACTGCTATAAACAGTGATAAAAATATTCTAACATCTTGAAAACTTGCACAGCCTCTTGGATAACAGTTTTGATAAGCCTTAGACTCTGTAAAATAAAAAAGAGTAGAGGAAAAATTAGTTTTGATGTGGATGTTAGTTTCAAATAACCAGTGATTCAAATAACCAGTTGTTCATGAATTTTGCCTGATGTTCAGCTCAACAAGGACCTGTTAAGCCAGCATTCTCCAATAGAACTTTCTGCAATGGATGTTTTGTGCCTATGATGTCCAGTATAGTAGCCATTACCTACACGTGACTACTGAGCAGTTGAAATTTAACTCAGTATTAATTAACAGTACATTCAATTAGTAACTGCTCCGTTAGTCAGCAAAGCAGAAG